AACATGCTGTCAGAAGATGGAAATGGGATTGAAAGATGGACATCAGCAAAATCCAGTGATGTGTTTACACTGATACTGGGTTGAGCTAAACTGAAATGAGAGAGAGGGGAGAAAAAGAGAGACAGCAGGACAGAAGAGTGGCTCTAAAGTATACTTTCAGGAGTCTGTGCAGGTTGTGCAAGGTGAAGGCAAGGAATGGCTGGAATCCATAATTATCAACAATTCTTACAATACTTGTCAGCGGTGTTCTCCTGTAATACAAACATGAAAGTAAACAACTAGTTCAAAAACTGTGTGTATGTGTGTGGGGAGGGGGGTGGGGTGCTCTGAGTATACAGGCCCTCATGTAAGGAGAGCCTGCAATGATATTAGAACGTACATCCATGGATGAGGGGAGGTGGCCCATAGAGAATGCCTATGTACAGTCTAAAAACACCAAGGACAGCATTCAACAAAAACTCAAAGGAATAAGTAGTAGTTCAGCAAAAAGAAACAAACAAAGAGATGCATTTAAAAAGGTTTTGTTAACTGGCCTCAGTTGATTCAATCAATTTCTGCTTGACAAGCTGGCTGTTAATGTATCATAATCTGCAGCAGTGAGTAATATATTTTTTTTTTAATTTGTATTGATTTTTTTAAAACACAGTTACAACATGCTGCACATATAGGATAGAATACACATGTGCACATACAAGTATACAAACATACACACATACAACCATGTATTCATATAAGCATCAGACATAGCCAAAGATAAACAAAACAAAACTAAAGGCAAATAGAGAGTGTTTATTAAAAGGCTATTCTGCAAGAATTTGTTTTCAGCTGTCACTTAATATAAAACAGATTCAGCATGATCTGATGGAATTGGGAATTCTATTCCAGAGTTTAGCAGCTACAGCCAAAAACGCGAGGTCACCTGTGGATTTAAAATAAGAAAGGGAACGGATTAAAGGCCTAGATCAGATGATCAGAGTGGCTGAGAGCTCAAATTGGGGCTTAACCACTCTGCTACATATACAGGCGCCAGACCATGCAAACCTTGTAGGTGATTAGTAGGACTTTGAAATCAAATCTGTGTTTTACTGGAAGCCAATGAAAGGAGGCAAGAACTGAGGTGATGTGGGACATTTAACTATTATTTGTTAACAGTTTCGTTGTTGCACTTTGCTCTAACTGAAGATGGGCTAGAGAAGACTGAGTAATACAAGTAAAGAGGGAGTTACAGTAATCAAAACAAGAAAAAGAAAAAGGGTTGATCTTTGCAATATTTCACATATAAAAGAAACAAGATTGAGTTTAGTGATATGGGGTTCAAAGTTCAAATGTTGGTCAAAAAGGATGCCAAGACTCTTGGAGGCAGTCTTGATGTTGCTAGCGCGTGGTAAAGTAATCATGGCCGATCACAGGGACCCCAAGTGTGTCAGAATTGAGATGGAGGAAATGTTTAGACATTCAGTCTGTAACAGAAGCTAGGCAGTCATGGATGATGGTAAGGTCATCTCTTACACTTGCTACACAATAACACCTAGCAATATTTCTAATTCAGCATTTATATTCAATCCTTTATGTGTTGGCTGTTTTTGCTGAAGTTGATGTGAGGTCAATTTGAGGGTCTACCACAGTATTATAACCTACCACAGATACTGAATACTAAAGCCTTTTTGAGTACGTGCCTTTTGCTGTTACATATAATGGTCAAGGTCTGCCCTCTAGTGAGAATACAGCTCCACCCACATTTGCCTGAACTTGAAAACTTGAAGTTTTTAAAAGTGAGTTGGAACAACCACTTATTCAGAGCCCAAGGCTTTTCATGTGGAAACGCTGACACACAGCCGAGCTGAAAGAATAAGGTTAAAATGGATCATACACACCATGAGAACACATGAAATCAACACATTCATTATAGGGTATACTTGTTAACTTCAGTCACACGAATTTCTGTCTTCCTGCATGTGTCACATGCAGCTCTTCGTTTGTAAAATATGACCCTCTGCGACTCACATGTTAAGATCACAAATGAACAACTTCATCTGTGAGGTCCCCGTGGTCCCAAAATCATGAAATTCCCAGCATACTGTAGATCCATCCAGACCCCATCTGACTAGAAGTCTAAAGCTGCCAGTTTAATTACACTACACACAACTATTCAGGTCCACCTTAGTAGAGATCTAATCAGGAAAGATAAATGAATGGGTTAAGTTATTTCCATAATGTTTGGATTTGACTGGATGCTGCAACTTGAAAACCTGCAGCATAACTTGACACTTATTATGACATTACATTTATTCATTTAGCAGACGTTATAATCCAAAGCGACTTACAATTGCAATTCATGTCAGAGGTTGCACACCATTGCGCCATCACCACCCAATATTAGAAAGTTGGCTTTTGTGCCTGAGGAAACTTGAAAGCAGGGGTGATCAAACATCTAGATCCCCATGGTAAAAATAGTGGGAAATGCAGATGATAACGTCAACCAAAGAATTTTAAATTAGTCAAGTGAATGAAAGGGGTTTATTATGAGCTCATCTCAGTGCAAACAAAATGTGGGGGAGGATTGGGAAGACGTTCATGCCAAACACATAATCAATATAATAATAATATTTTTATCAGCTTGAAATTGAACAAATCCTGTCGGCTTTTCAATAACTACTTGTGTATCTTTCACCGGACACTCTGCAAAATGCATTAGATGATAACAACATGGTTTGTAAGCAAGACTGAATATTGTAAATGAGATTGTTGCCACTTTATAACAATTAGACTGCAGTTAGTAACATGACTGTAATGAAAGGGTAAGCTAAAGCGACCAGTAGAGAAGGTGTACCAGATAACGTTAGCAACTCCTTGACTTTAAAAGGGAGCTGTCTATCGCAAATTTTTGTGCTACGCTGACTTCTTTCTACCACTGCTTATGCTGCTGACCTCAGGGTGACAATGCCTAAATATGACAGTTGTGACCGATATTAAATTACATTATTATGCTAAATTATTATTTAGGCTTTTCATATATTTCAATAACATGAAAATAAACATTATAAATAATGTTTGTCTGTCTGTGTGTCAATCAATCAGTCAGTCAGTTGAATTGTTGAATCTCAACTAGGCTGATAAGCTCTTGAAATGTTGAAATGTTACATTTGCTGCATAGGTGGGTCCTAGTGCAGAATTATATCCGCGGATCGGTTGGGTCTTTGTCATAAAAATTAATCTTCTGATTAATTGGGGGGCTAGGGGGATTAACATCATTGATTATTTGAATCTCCTGCTTTTCTGGATTCGAAATGTTTCTTGGTGTTGGTGAATTATTAAAAAAACATAGCACTACTTAATTTCGGGTCAAAATGCGATGTAACGCATATTACTAAGATTGTAAGGGGTATAATAGGCTATTACAGATTTTTTTAGTATATCAAAAAGCAATTCATTACTGTAATTGCGTTACTTTTGTAACACGTTACTCCCAACAATGCCTCCCGGTGAGTCTGTCTTGCCAATATCTATCTGTAAGGTAACATTACAAAGTCGTGGGGGGGAACGTTTGTATGTCTGTGTGAAAAGCTACAGCCGGCATGCCTGTGTTTCCAGGATCTCTGTAGCCAATGCAAGCCTTGTGTTTCTGATTTTGCTCGCTCATGAGTTCAAGGCAGGCATGCGTGGGCGCACTCACCTCTTAGCGATCTTAAAACCACACCACTAGTGGCCGCTGAAAACCACATATTAACTATGTAAGTGTATTGTGGACAGAAGGACAGTCTTTGAGAGTTCAAAATGCTGTAAGAAATGTAAAAACAAAAAAATGACTTATATATGTGACTTAAAAGTAATTATCAATGCAAAAGTCTCAAATATAAAAACAATGTAAAACGTACATTTTCCAACTCTTGTGAATTTCCTTATCTGCTTGGGTATATTGCTGGAAATAAGATGCATAATTACAAATCACTGTGGCAGGATTCAAAACGTGGCACAGAGAAAGAGAGGGTGAAACAGTAGCTGGGGCCATAGCCCCGGCGCAAATCTTCATAGCCCCAGTTAAGCCTCCCCCAAGCAATTGAGCTGGACCGTTTTTTGATCAAGAAGAAAATAGTTTATTTATGGTCTATCTGTCTGTTCACCTGTCTGTCTGAAGCTGCTGGGTTGTGTGCGGCGGCAGGAGGACAGAGTTCCAGAGAGCTGCATTGGAGTGTCAGAGGGACGCATGCAATCTCACCTGAGCAGGGTGTTCAGCGCAACATTGAAAACTGTTTTTACATTTTTACATCTTTGTTGTCTGTTTTGGGGATGCTTTATTCAGCTGTTAAAGTGGCAGTTATTTTATTTCTGTAGCCTAATATCGCTTGTTGCACCTACCAGGGTGTCCATACCTCTTTATTTGTTGTTGGTCATTTACGTTTAATTGTAAAAGTCTCTTTTCTCATTACTTCTGTGGAATGCGTAGGGAACTAAAGGGATGCTGATTACTATTTTCTTTCCCCAAATATTGGTCTAACCCCCTCTTAGCACTGGTAGAGAAAAAAATCCTGGTGCTGTGCCTGAAACAAAAGCAAAATGAAAGTTTGTAAAAGCAAAATAATGATGATGGTTTTGACAAGAGTAAGGTACAGATATAAAGAGAGCAGGGAACATGAAGACGGAGTGTAAAGGTGAAAATTATTTTTAAAAATTGACAGTAAGCAAAGCAGCAATCCGACTGGTCCTGGACCACGTGGCAGGCAGTGATGCTGTTTGTCTGGCAGTCTCCTGTATCCCCTGAAGCCCTTCCCAACCCCTCCCTCATACACTCCTATATTCAACCCTAAAACCCCTGCCCCCTCTTCTCCCTGTTTCTCCCCCAATACACTGTCCTCTTTCTGATCCAATACTATGCCTGCATGTATGCAGCATGTGTGTTTGACCCCGTCCCCACCCCCATGGCCTTAACTGCATTACAATGATAGTTATTATAGGACCATGAGATCTGGAGTTCAAGATAAGAAAATGTTAAAGACGACACATCATGACAAATGTTTTTATTCATTTTGTTTTTATTTCAAACCTGAGTATATGAACATAAGTGAGGTGAGATTCTTTCACCTTTTACTAGGAGACTTGCATGCTCTGCAAACACACAAATAAAAGTATCTTCCAGTGATTTAGTATTGTACTTCCATAGTTGGAGTACTAGTGAGATACTGAATGGTCAAAATAAAAGCAGAAGAGGTTGAGATATCATGACTTTTAGTGCCTAGTATGGGACAAGCTCCAAAACCACTGGATCCTATATTTGCCACAATGCAACAATCTTTTCATTTGATCATCCCTGCCTGGTAAATGCCCACATCTTTCCAACATCACACAATTTGTAACAGACTTTTTGTTGTAATTTGTCATCTAAGGCGAGATAACCCTGACATCATCACACATCTTTAGGGTTAATTAAAATGGCTTGATGTATAAAAATGGTGGGGTGTCCCTTTGACCTTGTAAACCACTTCATACATTACGAATGTAAGTTTTAGGTCATAAATTAGATTATACCTTCTAACATAGGAAAAAAGCATGCAGTGATCAAGTTCCCTACCTCCCCCTGATGCAAAGTAGTTTCATGATGTTGCCATGGCAATCACTGCAGCCTCATTATAGCCTAAAGTATCTCATGTATCTACCAGTGAAATCACTTAATAACGGTTACAGGGATGGATCAAAAAGCTTGGGACAGAATCATTCCTATATAAATGCTGTTAAAATACTTTGCTTATAGTAATCAAGTAGACTGATTATAATTTTCATACATGAAAAGATATAGAAAAATATCTGAAGATTTTGTAAATTTGTTCGTTTTCAAACTCTACCTGCTACCAGCTCGACACTGATCACCTGTAGTAAAAATGCACTGAAACCACCGCCTTTATATTCATTTAGAAATTAATTAATTAGTTGGTCATTGCTAAAAGCACCTCCTTTTCACCCTGTGTGTTGAATACGGAGTGAAGCACATGCACAGTATATAGTTAAGAATTACTAGTCAATCAGAAGCAGAGTAGAGCGGGTCCTGATAAGCAAGGTAGCGTGATAACTATGGCTTTGGTTCAGCTGTGCATGATCCGAAACAGCTTTGCAAGCTAGACTGGAGCAAGACGTTTCAGAGAGGTAAGTTATTAATCTGTAACAAATGTATCTTTCATAGTAACGTTTTAACTGCGCACTAGTATCTAACGTTTGGTATGAAGGGTGGGGGTGAGGGGAGGCAGCGGGTGGACGTCTTGTAACTGTGTTTCTTCACTAGTGTTTTTGAGGAGCATTATGTTACAAAGTGACAAAGTTAGGTTACAAAATGAAAAGCTGAACTGCGATCGAGCTGTTTTCAGGCAGTTCAGGGTTTTCTGTGGGAGATGACTTTGGGCTTTTTCACTTTGCAAACCTATTACATACACAAAAAAGATATATAACACAATAAGGGAAAGGGAAAGCAAAAAAGCAGAATATGACTTCTTTAAATGAGGTAGGGGACCTGGGACATAATAATAATAATACATAAAAGTAAACAATGAAAACTAAAAAAATCCATTTGACATATAGACATGAACATTTCACCACCTGAAGGAGCATGCCTTAACGTTTAAAATAACCAGTCTACTTGATGCCTGCCACCATGTGGATCCACCAGTTGGCCTGCACGGTCCAGCCCTTTTTCTCACACTCATAGATTTGCTGGAGGAAATGCTCCTTGGCCTCTGCCTCACTCTGCTCCTCCTGAAGCGCCTCCCGCAGGTAGCGCATGTCCTCTGCAGCACTCAGCTCCGGGATACCCGTCAGCAGCATGAGGGAGAAAAGAGTGATCAGGAGACGAGAGTGCGAACGCAGGGAGAGGTATGCTTCGGCGCATGTGTCCTAATATAGGCAGGTGGGAATCACAAGAGAAGGAAAGGAGGACAAGGAAAAAAAACATAAGGAAATTCAGTGCAGGCCACTAGGGGCCTCGCACGTTTAGTGCTCAGGCCCTAATTAGCATTTACACACAAACATCACACCAACACACACATAATCAATTCTTCTCACCCTGAATCGCTCAAAATAGAGGCTGTTGCCCCTTTGGATCCTGCCCATGACAAACAGGAAGTCAGGTGTGAGGACGAATGGCACACGCTCCCTGCTCACGCCGAGGAAATGCTTTCTGTTCCCCAGAATGTGACCAAAGTCGATGTGAAACAGGTTCCCTGAGAGGCCCAGGAAATACAAAAGCATTTAAGTTCTTCATTCATTTTCTCACTGCTTCACATCATCAATAATGTTACTCAATATTAGAGATGGAGTGTTCATTTTTACACAAATGCAGGCAGGTTTACTCAGCTAATTCAATTAATAGCCAGAGCGATGCGAACAAGAATTTGTGGCGCTTACCTTGGTCTGTGATCATAATGTTGTCATTGTGTCGATCACCTATTCCCAATACATAGGTGGCCACACAGTAACCAGCACAGGACTTCACAAATCTCTCCGTAGTCTTGTAATGCTGTAATGAAATGAGATCACAACTGTTCGAATACAAAGGTGGTAGCATGGCAGAGCATGAACGGTTCTAATGCAGCTGATACCTACACAACAATTATATACATGTATAATATTTTATATAATTTTATACAAAGTCATAAATTAATAAATTGGTCTATAGACAGGCTTTTAAAAACCTTTCATTGGTAGGTAAAAGGGAAAGTGTGTTAGAGACAGGATATTTAGTAGCAAGATAAAAATGTCACTGTATGTCATGTCATGCTTGTTTTGCCCTGTGTGCAGCTGCACAGACCGATGTGACCCAGTGTGTAATTTAAAGGCTTGGATGGAGCATGTTTTATTTCTAATCTTATATTACAAGTTAATTTGGGTCCAGACTTTGTATAAAACCTGGTTTTGAATCTTCAAGGCCATGTTGGGCGGCTGTGGCTCAGGGGGTAGAGCGGGTTGCACATTAATTGGAGTTCAATCCCTGGCTCCTCCAGGCTGCATGTTGAAGTTTCCTTGGGCAAGATACTGAACTCTGAATTGCCTCTGGTGGCTGTTCTGCCAGTGTGTGAATGTTAGTTTCTGTTTGAGCACTTAGGCTCAGTGAATGGTGACTATGATGTAGTTTAAAAGCACTTTGAGTGGTCGAAAAGACTAGAAAGGTGCTATACAAATACGGAACGTTTACATTATACATGTTTTCCACATAACTTACAATTTCCTGCAGTGGACATTTTGACTTCAGCCACTCAAACAGAGCATCATTTCTGAAAGCACTAGTTGTTCCTCCATGGCTCTTCTGGACTGCAGCGATGGTCACTGCATTCCTCACAATCTCAATCATACCTGTTGAGGAAAACCTTTTTATATTCTGGGTGCTAGTAATTATTAATGTAAAAGGCTGAAACGGTCATCGATTAAATCGATTAAGTCGATTTCTAAAAAGCATCAACGCAAAATCTTTTAGTCCATATAACTACACAGCACCCCGTTTTAAGAAAACAACAACTCTGTAATGTTACCGTCTGTCCACCGTAAAACACAATTTATGTGGCCGCCGCCGGCAAGCAAAAGAACTTCTTATACGATGCATCAATGAAATTATCTGTAGAAGCTTCAAGTACTAAAATCATCGTTAGCTGCAGCCCTCCACTCATTTTCCCTCAATTATGTTCTAACATCCTTTGCCACATATTAAAAAGGGGTACATAAATCTGCCTGGAACTTTGAGACACACTACCAGGGGTGACTGTGGCTCAGGGGCTAGAGTGGGTTGCCTGTTAGTCCGAAGTTCGACAGTTCAATACCCGACTCCTCCAGGCTGCGTGTTGAATAATAATAGGGAAATGGAGAGTGCATTAGAGTAAGTCACTATAAGTAGAGTTTAATTAGTTGTGTTAACTAAGCAGTCACTCCTGGATACCACACAGATGTTGATACCTATGTTGTATCCTGTAGAGATGCAGCCATATGGAATAAGATTCAGATCCAGAGATTTCTCCTGCCAGATAGACTCCATCACCACCAGGGTCTAAAGAGGAAGATACACAGAGTCAGGTGTCACTTCACCCACATAAAACATGAACGTTCTTTTGTCAGTAATACTAGTAATTAAAACAGACCTGGATGATCAGCATGTCCTGCCTGAGGTCGTCCCCCTCTTTGAAGATTATTCCAACAGGTGTAGCAGAAGTGGGCGACGGCATAGGGCAGAACTCCAGCCACAGTGGCTTCTTCTTGGAGGCCATCACCTTGCATTTGTCCAGCTGGATGAGAGGGATACAAGAGAACTGATTTGTTTGTGTAACTGAATTTTTTAAAACGGCCCTAATCAACTTCTTACCATCAGTGATGAGGTCTTGAACACGAACAGAACATTTTATGCCAGTTTTTGAGATTTCTATTTGTGTGTGTTTATATGTGCTCTTCTCACTGATTTGAAGTGGGCAGAGCTCCATTAGGAAAAAGTGATGTCCCATATTACCATGAACCAATCAGAGTTTGGCAACATTTCAAATTAAAATGAGACGACAGGCTGTTTGCTTATGTTGTGTTAAGACACATAAATAAATAAACATAATAAACATAAGACTAAACATTCAATACCAACACGCTCATCACTTACCAGGATCCGTCCAACTTTGATGCGAGGGTCAAAGGGCAGCAAGAATTCATTTGGCAGATAACAGTCTCTAAGAAGCTCTTGAAGCTTGAGGGGAGCTAAATCACAAAGATACAATGAGGTACATTAGTCTAGTGATGCAGCAAATGGCTTTTTACTTTAAATATGGGAAAGAAGGTTTAATATCTTTCAGCATGATGTCTATGTCAAAGCTTGAGTGGAGACAAACATCCATTCCTCTATTAATCAGTGGCTGTTGAGCACCATGTGTGCCACCATCTAACCCTTTACCCAACCACTCACATTTACATAAGTCATTGTGGATTGGATTTCCTATTAAGGGGAGCTATAATGAAGATTATATGAAGTACCTACAGACCACTTTTGATGATGTTTTTATGCTTAGTCCTTTTTACACTGCGGGTATTGCAGCTAATAGAACATAGATTAGAAAATTGATTAGTCTATTGGTATTTATTATGGATAATAGACTTATTAAAAAAAAATTATACAAATTTTACTATGATTTGGCCAAAAACTAAAGTGATTTCCACCACAGTGTCAGATCTAAATGTACTTCTTGAGTATCATGTTTAAATATCAAGTTTAAGAACTCTAAAATATCACATTAGAAACGAAAGATGAATGAACAATTTTCACTTGCCGTATTTGCTGCAACAGACAATTACCAAGATGGCAATCCACATTTTGACTGTGTTCTATCATTCTGTAAAAGTATAACTAACTCATATAAAGTAAATGAATCCACAAGAATGGCTTTCTTAGATGTGTCCCACCTGTTGGAGGAAGGTCGTTCTTGTAGAGGTTTTTAATCACTATAGAAACCTCCTTTAGGGCCTCAACAGCCTGGACCTGCTGGGTAAAGTTGTCAAGCATGGCTTGACCACATCCAAGCAGGTAGGCCTCCAGAATCACAGCCATGCGCTGGCGGAAGTACGGGCACCCTGCCACCTCACTGCGGACATACCAGAAGAAGAAGTGGCCAATTCTCTTGCTCTGCAGGGAAGGAGGACACAGTCGATGTGAGGGGAGGGAGTCAGAGAGCAGGATAAAGATGTACAGATGTACAGTAGCTGCAGTCCACAGATAACTGATCCAGACCCGAAGAAGAAGGTCAAGGTGAGAATCCACCTTTCCATCAACTTTTCAGCATACATTACAATACAATACAATACAATTTTTAATTTTTTTTGCAGTTTGTTTTAGTAGCCTATAGGCTAATTCATTTACATAATATTCTTGCAAACTATTTAACCCGAGTAGCAGCGCACTCAGTAAATGTTTGCTTGCTACTTTCAACCTATGCCTAAGTTTCGATCAGTTGTGCACCAAAAAAATCGAGTTGTTTCAGAGTTGTCGTATAACATTACTTTATAATCCCACGAGATGGTGTAACTTGTTAAATGCACACGTGTGCCTTATTTTTATAAACAACAATTAACAATTGTGCTGCAATGACATTAAACATCAGGTTGTCAACCCATCCACCATCCCTGTTTGTTTTAGCTCAGGTGATGCAAAGTAGGCCCTTCATTCCCAAACACCAACTAGCAAAATTGGGATACAATCATGAACTACTAGCAAACTAGTAATTAAACAGAAAACTGTTGGTTACTTTACAATTTGTAAATTAGGATACAATCATGAACTACTAGCAAACTGGTAATTAAACAGAAAACTGTTGGTTACTTTACAATTTGTAAAGTTGTAAAGTATATCTGACAGGCAACCAGTTAACAGATCTGTTAACTGGTTGCCTGTCAGATTTATCGCAGAGGAAAACTTTTGCTCTCAAACATTGTTCACTTCATCAGCTGTCAGTGTAGGCTACTGGTGAAGGGATAGATCAAATAGGCAGATAGAAGGTTTGCGAAGTGATTTCATGGTACTTGTGAAAGTATATAGTAGTTTATTTTGATACATGGCATGGATGCTGTATTTTGTAAGTGTATTTTGATACAATTCAAATTAGTGCATTTGGTATCTTATTTTAAAATAACTTTTGATGTATCTTTGTTCATCCCTGGTCAAAGTCAAATCCTTACGCTTGCCCATTTTTCCTACTTTTAAGACATCAACTCTGAGGACAAAATGTGCACTTGCTGCCTAACCCTTTCACGCATAGTGGTCATTCAAAAGCCTTTTACTTGAATGGGCAGAGGTTCTGATATTCTAGTTGCACATCAACCACTACAGTGCCACACTCTAGTAAGCCGTTGTAAGTGCAACTTAAATTTGTCAAAACCAAGTTGGCCGACGGACGATTGGAAACACTGTGCAGCTCAGGTAAATCTTTCATCATTCCTCCAATTATAGGAGACCGCTGCAGGTAAATACCATTTGGTAACATATAGTAACAACTAAGGAGTAATACAATTGTTAAACTTTCCAAGTATTGATTTTATGTTAGGAGGAAATTACGAAGAATCATCTGTCTACTAAATTGGACATTATACATCGCTGGCTATATTTCAACAACATTCAACTTTTACTGAGACTTTGTTTTTCTTGAAAATACTTAATGTGCACTAACTTTTTTGGATGTAAATCAGTGGATTTATGTTACACTTGTAGGTTTTGTAACCAAAAACAATATTTTGTGCAGATTAGTTCCATTATGTGAGTAACATTTAGTGTGTTGCAGCAAGTAATAGAAAGGCATTCAGGACAGTGGAGCCAATTCTATCAGAATCAAGTAAGTATAATACTAGTGGCAGGGATGATGAATGGCTACCAGAAATAGGAGAAACCTCAGATGCTAGCAGCAGTGATAGTGGAGCTGAGGATGCTGAGAAAGAGAGAGGCTGAGTAGTAAGAAGTGAGGTTCAACATTTTTGCATTGCATTAAACAGTATTAGAATATGTTAAAATATGTGACCACATTAGTTTAACAGCATTAAAAATATAGTTTTCACATAATATATAATTTTATTTATTGGTTTGTTAAATAAAGATTTCTACAGTTAAAACCTTACGCCTTAGTGGACATGTAAGAAACTCCTTGAAAAATGTGTGTTTAAAAAAATTTAATTCTAATTTTATTTTGCATGCCTAATGAGCAATAAAAAAACACATAGGACAAAAATCCTGACAGAGGCTGTCATAATTCATGCATGAAAGCGTTCTAATATGGCCCACCCACCAACAGGTGCCAAGGTAATAAGACAATCAGCGTTATTCACTTCACCTGAGTGTGGTCATAATGTTATGGCTGATCAGTGTGTATGACTAATGTCTTTCTGATGTGACAGGATGAAGTTGCAAATATAAAAATACTAGACAATGTATTCAGTGTTGATCTATTGTATGTGACTTAAGTTATCCGAAGAAGGAGTGCAAAAAAAAGCCGCACATCCTGCAGGTACACCAGCACACTCCGTTTGTAATCTACTCAGCTGTGTCAAACTGGCAGTACCAGTTTGACACAGCATCTACTAAACACTAGACGCTATAGACTACACCACAGTGCTTCTTTAGGGGATGGTAGAAGTAGCTACATCCTGCATGTGGCGAAGAATAGTACTTTGAGGACAATTTTGAAAAAACATGATCTTGCAACCAAATATTTTCATGACTGTTGAAACATGTAATTTGCTTGTCATGAAAGTAAGTACTTAAATTGTGCATTTTAATTTGTCAGTAAATATGAAATGTATTCAAATTAGCAGCTTTTCAAAGACACAGTTAGTGCACTGTGTCTTTGAAAAGCTGCTAATTATTCTTGTTTTATAAGTTAGTAAAACCTACCGAAAAATAATAGACCCATAGTGAACAAATTATTAACAATATGCTTTAAAGGAGGGAACATGGCAACAAAAACGGATGTACCAACACCCTTAGGTTCTGAAGAACAATATGTGTTATGTACACTGAATATTAGGATGCTGGATGACTCACCCGCAGAGCTCTTCGGATGAGGTACAGAGCGAGGAAACTGTCATGGTAAGGTTCCACTTTGAGGGTCTAGGATAGAGAAAAACGTAAAAGTATTGTCACCAATCTACAGTCTCAACCTCACATTACATATCCACAGATACTTTAGTAAATACAGTGCCTCTTACAGTGATCAAATCTCTCCGGGTCAAATTAATGACTATATGCAAATTATTATTGGCATTTGTATATTTATTACATGATTGGAAAGTAATGAAATGGAGAGTTTCACTATTTACTGAATTTTATTGACTGGTTGAAAATATAGTACAGCTTTTCAAATTACTGTAAAAATTGAATTACTGGACTGTGTATAATTCAAATATACTATAATATATATGTCTCAAGCTTTTTGATCTATATAAGCTGTTTATCGAACTTTATAAAAAAATCTTAAGTGCCTCTTTATACCAACAGTATTTGCTTTTAATTTCTTCTGCTAAAATGTGTTTACATCTTTTTATACAACTATATATACACCCTCCCATTTTAAATTACTAAGAAATACTAAGAATTTAAAGTGGTAAATCTGCCACCATTATCATAAATTGCATATGCACTGTTCAGGAATAGCAACAGTAACTAACACAATAAGTAACGCAGTAATGCAGTGGCCCTGAAACTTTTGTGGCCCCTGGTCTGGTGCCCTGTGGTAGCTGCCTGCTTTACCCTGTTGGTAATCCAGGTATGGTATGAGTCGTTGAATTATTAATAATTTTTGGATTTTTTTTTTATGTCTCAGTTTACTAGTTTAGATATTTTTTCTGTTATTATTTATTTAATATAGGCATCATAGGTGTAGAAATAAATAACTTTTGAGGTCATAGGTGTGGATGTTTTTGCACAGAATTGTATAATATTATAAGGGGCTTTTTTAAGAAAGGTATGTTCAGATATTTTGTTTAAGTTCTTCCACACAATACACTTTTAATATTGTTACACTTGAACTCTATCTGTATGGATAGAAACCCATACCTGCACCAGCTGCAGTAAATACTTCAATACATCATCATTGGACAGGCTCTCCAATCTCTGGACGGCTAGTCTCCTGACTGTCTCATCAGCAAAGTCCATGCTTAACAGCTCCAGGGCCACTGTTACATCCAGCTCCCCAGGATCCCAGCTTCCCAGTAGCCAGTGGACATCCTCAACCGCTCTGCGGTTCATCCAATCAACTTTTCGCAGATAATGGGGGAGATTTGAGGCGTATTGGATGCTCTCTTCCCGAAACCTTGTGAAGCCAGCCCTCTTGGAGCTGCTGTTTGGAGATGATCTGAGAGTTACAGTGTCTGTCTTTGAGTCCAGGAGATCAGGATTATCTGTGCTGGATAAGGTGGAAGGGGGTGAGGAGGGCGAGGAGGGCGAGGAGGAGAGTGCATAAGAGGAAGCAGTAGATTTGGTCTGGGTGAGGCTGGAGGTGGGACTGTTGGATAGATCAGAGGGTCTAAAGCTATTTGGGAGAACCACAGGGAAGCTGTAGCGGTCTAGAAAGAAGCTGATCGCCATGGAGTCAGCTATGTCTGGGTTAGTAGCAGAGGATAGCTTGTCTGCCTGGTAGGTGATGGCCTCTTCCTCCAGATCAGGGTAGGGCCACATGTGCAGGGTGTAGGGACCCTGGCTAAGGATGGACCTGTATGGACAAACAAGTGTCCCATGATGACATGTATCTACAATTTGAAACCTTATCTCTTATTAAACATATCAATCCACATATTCACTTCCATGAAATCTGAAGTATAGAAGACTCAGGAAATGTCATGTTAGCGTTTTATTATCGCTTTGACATTTTAACACCAAAAAGAGTTACATCACAAAGTTGTAAGTGATATTAAAAATCTGACCTGTGATCTATGAGGAGAAGATTGACAAAGTAGAGAACCTTTCCCTTCCCTTTCTGGAGGTCTGGTGCTACTTTGATTGAAGATGTTGGTGGCTTTGATTCTTTAGTTACTGAGGGTGTTGAGTCTTTGGTTGCTGGAGAGATGTCACCACCACTTGTGTTAATTGTGAAACCCAGCTTGGCTCCACGTGGCAGATCCCTGAGGAGCACATCAAAGTCCAGCCACTCATTCCACAGTACTTCATCTGCGAAGGCCTTAGGAGTGGAGGACACTGAAGAGAGAACCTTGTTACCGTAAAGTATTGAGGCCTTTACATAAACAGACTGAGGGCATTTGTTTGGAAGTGTTGGGATGTCAAAGCCAAGCAGTTTGACTCTGAGTCTTCTGTTGCAGTCCAACAAGGAAATCATGAAGATGTCATCCAAATCCTTTCCTTCAAGGCGGAGATCATCGTGGGAGCTGAACTGGCCACTGGAACCATCAACAAGTGGCAATTCCACAAACTTGACAGTCTCATCCGCAAGCTGTGACACAGGGATCACGGAGAGGTGGAGGTCTTGATTGGTTTTCAAGCACTGTCTAACCCAGAGGAAAGCACTGAGCGGGTAGTCTCCAGATAAAAACTCCTCCCTTCCAGAGACTTTCAATACCAGACTTTCAGAAGTGTCATAATCAAGACACTGGTCTGACATCACTCTTCTAAAGACTTTCAGAAGAACATTTGGCATCGTAGTAAAATCAACCTGTATGCTGAAGCTGATCTTGCTCATGAAATGCATGGTGACAGTAAGCTTTCTGTTTAGCTGGTCTTGTAGGTCATTTGGAATAGGGGCACATGTTATCCAAGGCTCTGTGGCATATAACATGTTATCCCGATTCCTTAGCTCTTGTCTTCTTGGAGATGCCAGTTTCCTGCGGGTGAATGTGAGCTCACCAAGTCTGTCAGACGCTTCTTTCTCAAGGTTGTGTCCGATCAGGTAAGCAAGACACTGCTGTTGATTCTTTATCTCCTCAGAATCTACTGCCACCAGTGGTTGTACCACTATGTGGGCTAATAGACGCCCAGTGTCGTCACATGACCAAGGAATGTCTAACGTCCTGATTACTTGACAGTCATCATAGGCCTCAAACCAGTCTTTCCCCCTGAAATATAGCAGAGTGTATTTCTCTGGGTCCAGCATTGCAAGTGGGTCTGGGTGGCAGTTTTGTTCCTGCGCCTGAAGGCATAGAGACAGAGATTTGAAAAGTGTTGATGGATGCTGCTTGATTATGAAGGTATTTTTGTGTCTTTTTAATGCAGGCAACAATACCAACAATAACAACAAAACACAGTTCTGAGAGCATATTTCTCACACTGCAATCAAATATCAAGTTTGTAAATATGAACAGACAGGCCCTTTTTATGTCACAAAAAGTTTTGATTGCTGTCCTTGATTGCAAGTCAAAAAGTTTTGCCAGTTAATAAGTTTTGCAAGTCAAAAGTTTTGAGAGTCAAAAATGGTCGAGATAATAGTTTCTATTGGGTTTGACCCACCAATCATGGTAGCAGGTATTGGCTTCTGCATACATAGCATGTCAGGTTAGCTCGTTAACTAGCTAATTAGGCAGCTTTGAACGATGCCAAGCTGTGCTAATGATGCTAACTGTTTAACGTTAACATAAAGTCAATGCTAGACGTGGCTAGGTACAGTAAGGGAGTGACTGGTCAGGAAGAAGAAGGATCTGTGGACACTAATAGAAGAATAGAAGTGGCTGTGTCATATGAGGACCAGAGGGACTGACCACAAAGTGCTGAAAGGAGAGAGCTGAGGTGGGTACTCTGGAAAGCGGCACTTGGTGCGGATGGCCAAGCCTAGCAGAGTGCTCCTTGCTGGGGTGGCTGCCAATGTTGTGCCGAGAATTGCATTCACCTCCAAGTACTATTTAAAAACATACTCTTTTTGGTGTTCATCAGTGTTGATAAATGATTAGAACTACATATTTTTTGAAGGTTTAGAGTCATCAGTATTTTATTACACTTAGAAGTAGCATTCCTTGAGGTTCAGCAAAAATATGTGCTGATAACTGCATTTCATCTGAAAAATGCGTGAAAAGTGTCTGAAAAGGACCTTAAGAGGTGGATGCATTATTTGGCAGAACAGATGTTGTAGACTACCTGCCGAGATTTTCATCCACCTTTTTTCTCCACGTATGAGTGTTACCTCCCGCAAGGTACATGCAGAACTCAGCACACCAAAGCGTGCCGGTTAGGGCTGCTGGCGAAGATGACAGGTAGCTGGGATGTAGGGCGAGGTTCCTCAGTTATGTAAAGCTAGATTACTTAGAGGAACTCTGTGTGTGTGTGTGTGTGTGTGTGTGTGTGTGTGTGTGTGTGTGTGTGTGTGTGTGTGTGTGTGTGTGCTTTGTTAGTAACTGCGTCAGTAAAATGTACTCAGCTGTCAGCAATGAATGTGTGTGTATATATTTTGAAAACACACATACAACCAAGAACGGAAAAACAAAACACTTTTTAAACACACTTTTGAGCATTAGACACTTTAGTGGCGTTTGCCTACCTGTATGCAGATGCGTAGCCGCAGCTGGTAGACGCTGCACTGTGCAGGGAGGATTACTGACACTGACTTGCAATCCATATTGATATTGTAATCCTCATCACCAGACACCTCTGGTAGACCAGGTCCAGGCTTAAACTCACAGATAAACTTCAGGTTGTTGTCAGAGCAGCTTTGAAACAGCATCTCAGGAGGACAGTCCACAGTATGTGAACTGACAGTCCGATTCAGGAGCAAAGGAGGATCCATCGATACTTTGGGAGAACAAAACCTGAACTTTAATATGTTGTGTTTATTTTTTATTTGGTGCAGATTAATCTAATTAATTATTAGATATATCTCTGCAATATGATTTCCAGGTTGTTAATATGGCATTGCAGATGTAGTGTGCTAACAAAGCGATTTATTAAGAAAACTCTTACCACAACAGGTGCTGCTTTGTTGAGATCCTAAGGTGGAGTCAGGGTGAGTACCTGTTTGACGAGACTATGTTCCCTTTTTTGTGATCGCTCTGGGACTTCCTCATTCTTTTATAACACAGTTCTCAAAAACCAGAGTAGAGATAAACACACCACCAAAGCATTTCCTGACATTGTAAAGAGGTTAACTTCCTCATTCCCTTTTTTTCCCCACTTAGATAACAGTAACCTTTTCTGATGTTTTCACAGTTAATGCATCACAACAGGACTGGGTAAATAGTACTTTAAATCAAATGCAATACACAATTGTATGTTTTTCCCTTGGTTCATCAGTCAACATTTGTTACGTGTGCAAAAATATGGCAGTGAAAAAGAGGAAACTGTTAATGGTGTTTCAATTCATAATCAAACAGGATAAAATGGAGCAGCACAGTTTGTCTTACAGCAATGCGCCAAACCTGTTTGTGGTGTTTGTTTTGTTATTCTGCAAAACTGCATTGCGCACTGGATGTACCAGGAATCTTTAAGTGAAAGGTGCAACTAGTGATATTTTACTGACTTGACCTCATTTTATTCTACATACTGTAAATGCTGCCAAAATGCTTTTAGTCAGGGGTGATGTTTTAACATTCAATTAAAAATTAGCAATACATAGAATTTTAGGGAATTTTACATATATATTGGGAGCCACTGGTTCCAAGGCAAGAGTGAAATGGATGGGAGACAGTGGGCATTGTAACCTCGCAGCTAAAACATGAATGTAACAAATGACCCAGTTGCCTGCTTTCTCAGTCACTTGGAACAGCCACTAAATGAAGAAATCCGTTGGTTTATGTAGGCTGTGATGTTAATGTGCGCTCCCAGCCTCTTGCCTACTGATTATGAACTGTATACACAGCAACAACACCACAGCTAACGAAATGGAGTCCACCAACATCCAACAACAACAGGCTCCCAGCACAACACAGACTCCAACACAAACTCCTCTAGGGATAAAGAATAACAAAAACCTTCTATGTGCTGAAGCCCGTCCCGCCAGGAGAATCAGATCAACGTCGGGCAAAAACACAGAAATCGGAAAAGCGTTTGAGTCACGGAGGGACCTCCACTTTGTTTTGGATATAAAAACCAACACAGTGTTGTCTTTCATCCTATTGGAAAGATAAACATTTTTGCAAAGCATGTGAAATAAACTGAATGTGTTTTAGTTGGCTCAAGTTAGACAACAATAGCAACTGGTTGGTGTTAGCCAGCAAGCTTCTCTTACTTGAGCAAAATAATGTCCCACATTACTTCACCAGCTAACTCTGGTACTGGTATTCTGTCAAAGTGTTGATTTTATTCTGCAAGTAATTATGTACCCCCATCCACTCTGTTCTCTTGCAGGTGTTGTCCTTTCTCTGTGGTGTCTGTCTGTGTGGTGTTTGCCCTCATTACTGCCCCCTCTGTCCAAATCAAATCAAACATAATTAAATAAATCAAAAGGAATATATTAAAACTCTATTGTTTAAGTAAAATCTGTTCTACTTGATTGCCCTGCCCCTTTGGCCTGTACTACAAAGGGAGTTACTTACTCAGAGTTAACTTGGGGTTATCAGGCAAACTGAGGGTTGACAAACTGACCGCCTACACTGGAGTTAAATGGTACTACGCCGGTGGATAAGATGGTTAGTTGAGTCCGTGTTAACCTGGTGTTAACTTAATTGGAGTTGGTGGACCTTCGCATAAAAGGGCCGTGCAGGCAGAGTTTTTTTTGCAACGGCGCATGCTCCGTATTTCTCCAGAGGAATGCACGTTGGTAGTGTCAGGGAATTATGAATGTAAAGACATCAATGGCTAAATCTAATATCGTGGTGGACGACGAAGCCAGGGAGGCTTGTTGGCATCGCATTGAGTAAATTTGTTGCCTTATTATCTTCCACAGTGTTCTTATTGTAGTTCAAATCTCTATTATGTATTTTATGGGCTCTTCTTTTATGTGTAATATTATTAAGATGTAAAGGTACAACTGCACATGAGGTCCATTATAATAGGGGGGAAAAAGGAGCCAGCAGAGAGGGGTAATAATCTGAGAAAAAAAAAAAATTAATTTCCAAGATGAATCTACAAGTAAAACATTTGAATATTCTCTGACATTATATAGTTACACATTTATGAGAGAAACTTCCCTTTGCAAGGCTGCAACATCACACACACACACATGCACACGTCTGCCGTGTATTATGCATGCATTTGAAAGTTAAATTAAACTTTGCAATTGGATTTAGCAGTGAGGAAATACTCTTGAGTTTATGAAGCTCCCATTATGCTGGGAGCACAGCGGCTCCCAGCATGATGTCCGAACAAAAGTAACTCCAAACAGAAACATCATCCTCAAAGAACAATCCACCGGGTAAATCCAAAAACACGGTGAACAGGGCATCGCAGAACACTCAAACATTCGACGAGGACGTTAACAGACACTGAACAGAACAAGCAAACATTTAAACATCAGGTAACGGGCAGGGCGGGACCAAGACCAGGTGGAGGACATGAGGTAATTAGACAAGACACCATTAGAACACAGACACAGGCAAGCAGGTGAAACCAATTGAGGGGGGACAGACATGAACAGACCAAAATGCAGAAACACAAGCTGAACACTCAATAGATGAAAACTAAACAGGACATGAAACAAGCAGACTGAACACTAAAAGACAAACTAAACATAACAGAAATCTGGTGAAGCTCTTTTTCTCTTCAAACAGAAATCAGGACAGCCAAGCTGCCGTAATCATGAATCCTGAAGCACAACGGAGCCTTTGAGAGGGCAGCCAGATCGCTGATCCTCCTGGCCGATGTCAGAGCCACAAGTAAGGCGACCTTGGCCGCAAGAAGCTTCAGGTCCGCCGTCTCTAAGGCTCAAAAGGTGCTTGGATTAGCGCGCATAAGACCAGCGTCAAATCCCACAGTGGAACAACAGGCCATGTCACCGGCCTGTGCCTCTGCGCCCCTTTCAGGAAACGCTTCACCAGGGCGTGAGCGAACTCCGTCCTGACACTAAAACCCTCGTGACAGGACGAGATGGTTTTAACCGTGCTGAATCCCAGACCCCTGTCCACGAGCAGCTGGAGTAACGAAAGCACCCCCGGCAGCGGACAGGCCACTGGTTCCAACCCCCGGTTCAAACAACAGCATTGGAACGCCAACCACTTGGAGGAGTAAGAGGACTGAGTAGAGGCAGCTCTCGAGCCCTGGACGGTGCAAACCACCTCACGGGAGAGAACTAGACCCTCCAGCTCCACCAAAGCCTCCACCCTTCTCTGAGAGAGCCGCGCTCTCCAGAAGTCAAAGGAGTCAAATACCACACCCGTGAACCCGTAACCATGCCGCTCCCCCGACGAGGGGGGGAGGGCAGGGACAGGCAACAGAGGAAATGGTCTGCCTGCGACATTGGAGCCCGGCTGCATGAAGGCCGCACAGCCAGCTGCAGCCGGTCCACGCAGTGTGACGGCAGCCACTGACTTCGTAGAGACAGTAGCCAAAGAGGAAATATTCTGCTTGTGCCATCGGAGCCAGACTGCATGAAAGCCATCCGGCCAGATGCAGCCTGTCCTTGTTATGCCAATCCCCCGGTGAGGGGAGGGAGGCAGGGGCTCATTGCCGTGCCACTCGACTGGCAAGGGAAGAGGGCGGGAGACGCGTACATGTGGGCTCAGGCCAGCCACCTGACCATGTCAGGGAGGGGGGGCAAGGGGCTATACTGTCTGCTTGAAGCGTAATGACCGCTTCAAGGGCTCATTTGACACAGCCTGCCTTCTGTGAACCAAAGTGGATGCACCTTGGATGCACAATAGGACCATGCCAGTGGTGCCGTGATTATGCATGAGCTCGCAGCCGAAACCCTACGAAATAGAACTATTTGTTCATCAGCGAACTCTGTAAATCACAGATGGTTGGAGCAGGGCAGCCAGCGGACATCAGAGGGAGAACCAGAAAATATTGCTCTCCATCAAATATTATCCAGTTTCACCAAAATCAGTTAATAAAGATGTGGGTTATCAGTGAGGTCCGGTCATCCCCCAGAAACACTACACTCAGGTGGCGTCATAAAAATGAGAAAGCTTTTCATTGGACGCTCAATTAATACACACCCCCCAGTGCAGGATCATCAAAATTGACAAAAATGTTTTCCAGGAACTGTCACACTCTAAAATACAATCAAGAGTACTACACAACAACGGGGGGGTTATATCATTGTTGGGCCAGATGCTAGAGTATTGGTGACATATAATGCAAGACAAATGCAATAAAAACAAATTAACATTGATTTTCATTTCATGGGGCCTTAAACAAAACCCACCCCACAAAACGAGACAGGGCGGATGGAGGAAGGACCGGAGGAGGGTAAGTCGAACCAGGGTGTTTGGAAGGAGGACAGGAGGAGGGCCAGAGTCCATGACCACAGGAAAAAAAAACACAGCCCAAGGTAAGCAGGGAACAGAAGAAAGGCCAGAGTCCAGGGGTAGAAAAACAAACAAAATAGAGTCTCTATGTCCAAAGTTGGAAAGGGGCAGGGCAGAAAGGGGCCAGGGGATATCAGGCAGGTGCCTGAAGGCAGGGCAGAGAGGGAACTGGGAATCTTAGGCTGGTGGAAGGCGGAACCCCTCTGGAGGCCAGCGAAGGAGGCTTGGGCCCTCAGGAGGTTGAGCTGGATGAAAGGCAGGCAGTAAAGCTGCACCACAGGAAACCTGGGACAGGGCTGCTGGGCTGACCTTGGCCCCAATTGGTACTTGTAATTGTAGGTTTGTTTTGTATCTGTAGAATCGATCCGTACCTGTAAACTTTGGGTTTTTCTGATTTTCAGATACACATTCAAACATTTCACATAGCTGCAAAACATTTTCACAAGATCAAAACTTTTCCACACATTCAAACATTTGAATGTACAAATACAAAACATTTTCACAAGCACAAAATATTTTCATGAGTACTAGGGATGCACCAAAATAAGAATTCCTGGCTGGAGTAAAGTTGCCACCCTCCTGATCAAGCCTGAAAAAAAAGAAAAAAATTCTGTTTCCTCTGGAGAGTTTCCTGCCTCTGTCCTGCTGTTGGGGGTTTCAACATAGGATCAGGTTTGGTTATTAGCTGAATATCAAAGATATTCTAG